ATAAAATTTCCTATATAATGAAAATATTACCAGTCCATCTACCTTTTGTATTATAGAATATCACAATCATAATTTATTAAATAAATTTTTATTCTTTACATGTATACCACAATTTATCATAAAACTGGGAACAAAAAGGATTGTATTTGTGTGTGTACAACGGGATTTTTCCAGCAGGACATTTAAACTAATATTTAGATTTCAAAAATTTTAATATTATGAATCATATGACATTGAACTATACCTAATGTCGAATAAATATAATCGAATGTTATATAAATAAAATAAATAAAAACCAAAAAGAAGGAATCTATCGATGACATTAAGCAAAAAAAAAAAGTCCTCTGGATTTTTTACTACTTTTTCTATATGTTTATTTTTCCATAGTCTTTGTAAAAGGAAATTAAAAGTCTACTATAAAGTTTGAATAATGCATTTATAAAGTATACTAGCTAGTTATCTGATATGGAATTCATTAAAAATATATTGAAAGAGTACGGAAATGGAAATGGTATAGAAAAAAAAAGAAACTTTTTTAATTTACTTTTCTTTTTTTTTTTTAAAGTTTCCATAGTATAATGATTTTCTCTATTTTATTGTAATGATGATAGAAGAGATTTTTTTTTTGTAAAAATAATAATGGAAACATTATTTTTGCATTAGAATTCATAAATTTAGAATTCAATTCTTTTAAAAAGAAGAAAAAAAAGGGATAAAAACTAATTTCATTAAAAGATTTACCTTGATTTCAAAAATGGAGTATAATGCGGTATTTAAATTCTATTCCGAAAACTATAAATTCAACAGTTTATTTATGAGCTGAGTTTGATTTAAAGAGGGCGATTGGGAATTGAAGGTTATTTTGTGGATATTAAAAATCAATTCTGACGAATACGGAGGTGCAGGTGTTCAGGAGTAAGTACACTATATATAAATCAATATTATATACTTAGCTTAATATATGTACAATATTATAAAATAAAATGTTAAAATAAAAGTGATTACTCAATATATTCGATATTTGAATAAGTACAAACAAGAATAAATAATAAATATCAACATAAATTCAATATTTAATATTGAGAAAACAACTTCGACGACTGGTAATTCGCCTAGTTTTAACTCAAAGATTTGTGAAACTGAAGCTTAAATTTAAGTGTAAGGCCGAAATGCTCCCAAATGGATTAGAGACAATAATCAAAGCCTAGGTCTTTGACTTACGTTCCTTTTAATCTCAAAAAATTCGAATGCACATAACAGCGACTACTCAGCCTTTTAAACTCAATTGTGTTTAAGTAAACTAATATAATTTTGTATATTTTTTAAAGCAAAAAACTAATTACTTTGGAAATAATTTAATATTCATTTATAGTAATATAAAAGCAATAATTATTTGGAATAGGAAAAAATTGCAATTTTATGAAATTCAGACATTTTCCATGGCAATGATTTAGGATTTTAAAACAAAAAAGCCTGTTTCGACAACTTTCAAACTATCATTGCAACTAAATAATTTTATTTACTTAAGCACATATATTCTTTAGAAAATTCGAACTTCAAAATAATCAAAAGACCTATCTACCTTATAACAGACCATTAAAATCTTCATAAATTAATCTTAACAATTATCTAATCTCTAACTCTCTAAATGCATTTCTATGAAAATTCAGAGTTAGATCTTGAGTAAGAATAAGAATTGAAACCCGTTTTTTCATAAATTGTGTCTGTAAATCAACCCAAAGTACCAGGAAATGAAACTATGTCGCATGAAATTATTGAAAATATTTCCAACAACACGATTCGCAATTATTTTAAAATCAAAAAATATTTGTCTGTAATTTCATTTACAAGACCGATTTATTAATTTTCTTTTTTAGCATATTTAGCAAGTAAAGAAAATAATTATTATTTAATTATTCCTAAAATGTATCTTTTATGTAAAATAGAATTAAATAACAATTAATTAAACAATTTGGATAATTCAGTAAGATCTACATGCATAGATAATATACTTAGTACACAAGTAAGTCGTGCATAAAATTATAATAAGTTAATATTAGTACATACACTTGTAGAGATCATAATATAATTGTATACTCTAATATCAAGCAAGCAATCATTGCATAAATAATTAAAATAATTCCAAATTTTATGCAAATTTTATAATTATTTTGAAATTACTTATATATTTACTTCTTTTCTTGCAATTTACTTTATCTAAATTTTTAAATATTTATCAATTATTTCATATGCAAATCCTTAATTAAATAAAATTACAATATTCTTACAATTTATAGTACATGCATTATGTAAATTACATTGCTTAAACATACGTATTTAGTTAATATGTATAAATTTTCTCTAAAAATTAATTTTGATTATGCTAACATTTGAATTTTTATTTAAAATCATAAAATTTAGTTTTACAACTTCATCCTTTTATAAAAGGACTTTTTGATTTTTTGTAATTTTTAATGTGAAAATAGAAGTAGAATAGAATTAATAGTTTATACGTGCAATATACGATAATATTTGGTTTTATGTAAGATATGAGTAAGTAAATTGAAATTAAATATTTGAAATTTTAATAATCTGATGGTTAGAATTTTTAAATCAATTAGAAATTATTACTTAGAATTATTATGTTATATGCATTTCTTAATTTACAATTCTCAAATCTAAATTAGAATTCTATTTTATGGTAATTTCAATAATAATATTATTTTTTAAATTTTTTTTAATGCCAAATTTAAAGTGAACATAAAACATTTTCTAAAACATTGCTATTTTCCTCAAAACATGAATTTTTCTACAAAACTTAATGAAGCTTAGCTTAATAAAAATAAAATTATTGGATTAAAACCATAAAGACTTCAATTTATTAATCCCGTAAATTGAAACAAACAATGATGCAAATAATAGATTTCTTATACAAAACACAAATTTAAATAAAATTTTTGCAACAGCATACTTATAGCTTGTAGTTCGTTGCAATGCAAATGCGTTTAGCGTTTTAATATGTTATGACATTTATATTATAACTGAATCAATTAAGTATGAGTGAATAAACAATATAAATAAAAAAACTTAATTTTGCTTGCAATTCAAGTTATTAAACAAATATTTATAAAATTTGCTTATAAAGAACTTTAAATATTTCAAGTTATTGGAAACAATTTGTTATCATTAGTTTTGTTTATCAAAGTTTATTAGTATATCATGTGGAAAGATGTATCGTTCAATTATTTTGTCAAAATCATTCAGTTATCGCAACTATGTAATAGAGATTATTGTCAATTTATGGCATTTGATGTGCCCTGTATCAAAGCGAGTTTATTAGTTTTTATTAATTTTAAAGAGAGAAGGGAGAAAGCATTACCGTCTTTTACTGCAAAGCTGTGTTGCTTGGAAAATTTAGTGAACTGATTATCTAGGGAAATTCAACTTAAAGTTGGCCACCAGAAAGCTGTAACATAAAGCAACTGGACTATCTTAAAAGAATTATGTAAAATTTTCATGAGTAATCGTTTATAGAAATAAGTGAGACTCCCTTGCGACTTTAAAAATAAATATTGAATGGTGCTTTCGATAGATAAGGCTTCAAATATTGCACAATATGACATTTTATTGAAAATATCGTCGGTTAAAAGGCAGAAAGCACTAGGTGCATTTTTTGAGAATTCGAATTATCCAGATGAATTAAATCAGAAAAATATATTCTTTGTTGCGGTAAAAAATCATGCAAATCCAGAATATAGCTTAGAAATTAAAGGGACCGATCCCATTACACTAATTGATTAATTTTACAATTTTACGTTTTTTTCAAATTGAATTTACTCAAAACACGGTTTCCTGACTTAATGCTTTCTGCTTCTTAACCGACGATATAATACACTCTGTATGGCGAACGCTTTTATGACGATCTTTCAAATATTTTCAGATTAATTAACAAACGTACATACCTAATAAAATTAAATAAAACGTCAGAACTTTTCAAACACTTTCAAAATTCTAACCAATATTTTATATTTCACAAAGAATAAAGTTATTTTCGCACTTTTCAAAAAAAGGTACTATAGATTGAAAAATCTAGTATGCCAAAATTAAGGCTAAGTACAAACTTATATAACGGCTTAAATATTTTTTAAATAATTATTATAAAAGTCATAGTCATATACTTTTATCATTAAGAATTACTAATTGTTAAAAATTTATTGTAGCATCTAAATCTAAAATTATTAAATTCATACAAATTAAGGAATGGATATTAAATTTCTAAATATTCATGAATGAATGATTTCTGTTTTTGTTTTTGTAACAATTAATAAGAATTGCCATTAAAAAATTTTTTGAAAAATTATAGTTTCACTTTTTTAAACAAAGCCTCATTTAATATATATGTATGTAGCTTGTACAAAATATGAAATTCTGTTTTGAATGTCAATATACTATATAATTCTGAATTTTAGAAAACATTTAGAATAATTATGTAAAGGAATTTCGGATTGAACGAAATGATCTTTTCTATTCAAATCTTAGATTCTAATGGCCATTTCTAAAGCCTAAAGCCCTAAAATCACTTTTCAAAACACAGTTTAATTCAATGGATTTTCAATATTTTATTGAAATATATTTTTTCAATATTTTATTGAAATTGTATTCTAATTGAATACAATTAATTTGACGAACTAACTTGAGGAAAACCTCAAGTTGGAAGTGGAATGTAATTATAATTTTGCATTTAAAATTATAAAAGCCTTACAAATAAAAGTTTTCTTCAAATTAATTTCAATTAATTCAAAAATTACATAAAACATAATATTTTATCCTACAAACTCACATAAGTATGTAGGCACATACATACATAATTCAAAGTGCAAGTAAGTGCTCGTAAACGTTCCTATTTTTTCATTCATTCTTTTCTTCTTTTTTTATAAATTACTTACATAAGTACTACACTAGCTACTTATTTTATTATTATTATTTTTTTCATTGCTTACCTGTTTTCTTTATTTTTGTTTAATTCTTTTTTCTGTTTTATTTTTTATCAGTGTTGTTTATTTTTTATATTTTTCATTTTTTATTACTTATATGGACTTTTCAACAAGTTTAATGCACGTGCGTTTGACATAATTTCATTTTATACGTTATTTTCCTTTTTTTTTTTAATTTTTTTTATATTTTTATTTTTATTTTATTACAATTCACATCAAAATACAAAACAACAATTAAAAGTTTTTTTTAAATGAGTTTTCACTGTTTTTTTACAGTATTATATAAGTAAGATTAAAAGTGCATTTTTATTTTATCTTATAAGAATTTAATTACACTTTTTAATTATTGGAAAATCAAACAAAAATGCACATTCAAGAAATAAAATATCAATTGAAATCAAAGTAAAAAAGGATTTTTGAAAAATTTTCTTTCTCTTTTTTTGTAATTTGTAAAAATTTCTTATTGGCAATTTAATTAAACTTAAACACTAAAATATTAATATTAAAATTCTTCCTTTTTAATTTCTTGTCTGTCATTAATTGTTAGCGGTAAGTAATTTAAGTATTTCCCAAAAAATTTAAAATAATTTCTTAATTTAAGATTAATTTTTTGATGCTTAAATAAAGTAGAAAATTTCTATTAAGTTTACAGTTATTAAAACTTTTGAAATAATTTTAAATTAGCAAATTAATTTTGATTTTAATTTTTTGCTTATTTAATATTTTTTAATCTCATTCAAATTTATTTTTAATTTTATTTACATTTAAGTTTTTATTTATTTAATCATAATTAAATTTTAAATTTTATTGAAGTACATTTACACGGAATTTAATTTTTTAAATATTTAAAATATAATTTATTTTTTATATTTTTTTTTTGCAAACACTTGCATTCATAAATACTCGGGAGTATTTTCTTAAATAATTTTTAATAAATATAAATTTTAAGTTTTTATAAATAAATTTTAAAATTTTTTTTTTTTTTATTTTAAATTTAAAAATAATTTTCTTAAAATTTTCACTGATATTTTTTTTTTCGAAAAATTTTTAAAATTCACAATTCAAATAATGAATATAAAATAAGCGATTCCGTTCTATGTTATTTCCTTTTATAATAATTTTTTTCTTTTACTTTATGAATTTTTTTTCTTTTTTTCTTTAATTTAAATTAGTATTATTGCACCTTACTGGCATAACAGTATCATTAAATTTGTATACATGTACATACATATGTATATATGTATTTATATTTGCAACGAATTTTTGTTTTTTTTCCTTCTCTGTTTTTGTCAGATTTTCTTTTAATTCTTAAATTTTTTTTTGTTTTTACTTCTCTATCTTAATTTTATATTTCAAAATAATAAAAATAAACAAACAAAAAAAAAACTAACAACAAATTGAATTGCTTTTTTTCAGTTATTTTTATTCTTAAGAAAACACATTCGTTGTTTTCAAAGTTCAGCAACAAACTGAAGCAACGAAATTTTAAAAATTTTTCATTTCATGTCTTCTTTTTACCACATCCAAGCACACACACATACACACACATTTATTTTATGTGTACTTTACAATATTATTATTATTATTACCTTTCCTGAATAATGAAAACAACAAAAAGAGGTGCAGAAAACGAAAACAAAAAAAAAATATAACAATAACAGCAAATGTTCAAAACACAGCAAAGTCAACATAGAGCATAGAACTACTTTACTTACTTCTACTGTTTATTTCATTTTTGTTTTTATTTTTATGATTTGTATTGTATACATTTCATACTTGTTACGTATATATTCAATATACATTTTTGTTGCTTATAAGAATATTATGTTGCTGAACACAATCATACGTGTAAAAGAAGAACAATCAGAAAAAGAATCTTAATTTCAGAATTGCAACAAAAATACAATATGTTTTTTGTATACGTACCATTTACAACACATTTCATATTTTAATCATAATATTTTTTTATGTGTGCGTTTAATGCATGTGCAAAACAAGCAATTAACTGCAATAAATATATATATGTTTGTAAGTAATTTGAAGAAGTACACTGAACAAAAACAATTAGGCTGCAAAGAAAACTGCTTAGCAACAAAAAAAAAAAAAAAGAACAAATTATAAAATGTGTGTTATTTTCTTATACATACTTATTTGTTTATATTTTGATTCTTCTTTCTGTATGTTTGCAATATGAGGAACAAAACCGTTAAAAAAATAAAAATAAAAAAAGAACAACAATAATAATAATAATAACTTTAGTGATAATAATAATAATGATGCCGAATCAATGATAATAATTGATATTATTGTCGATGTTGTTGACAAAAAAGAAATATTGTCCTTAAGGAAAACAGGAACAACAAACTGTTGCAGTGATTTTGTTATTTATTTTATGCTGTTTTTTATAACATTTAAAATGAGTATGCATATATTGTGTACCAAACTTATTATGTACGTTATTTATACGATACATTTATACAAATACGAATTTGTATGTATGTATTTATTTGTGCATTATGCACATGTGTACCTGCTGTATTTCTTCTAAATAAATTTTGTTTTTCCTGTTATGTTATAATGTTATATTCATGCATATGTATATGTAAAAGGTATGTATATAAAGGAATGTTTATGTGTATGTATTTTGCATACAAATTAGTTAATGTTGTTAAAAAGTGCATAAACACATATGTTGCTAGATGATTAAAACAACGAGAACATAAGTAAATACATAATATTATGTACATATGTACATGATCATATACATATGTATGTATATATATGCATACAATTTATTGTGGAAAGTAACGTATAGAAAAAACGAATTTCAAAAGCGAGAAAATATTGTTTGTCAGTGTTGAGATAAAGCAATGCACTTTTGTTTTTCCTTTCTTTTTTTCTTGTATTATTTTTTAGTTTATTCTTGACTTACATTTCTTTTTTCATATTTTTATATTATTTTTCAGTGACATTAAGAAAATGATTCTAAGGAAAATTTAATTTTTATTATTTCTTTTTGGTTATAAATTTTGAAATAAGGGTAGATCTATTTAAATTATAAATTTGGAAAAATTGTGGGAGAATAACTTTATTTTAAAAATTTTGATATTTTAAATTCATAATGCATTGAGAAATATGTTTTATATTATATAGTACAGAATTCATATTCTTGTATATGAACTAGTATATTTAACCCTTTAGAGCCATTTAATTTTAACTTTATTTTAATTTTTAATCTCACGAACCTTTCGTTTTCAATTTTTTGAAATGATTTTAAAAAGCATGTTATATGAAGCAAAATAAAATTCTCTAGTTTTATAAAAACAATTAAAAACTGTTCAGAAGTTACTTGCATGTTAAGTAACTATAATTGAGTCAAATACATAACGGTAATCTGTAAGGAACACTGGTTTTACAAAATTCTTTAAAAGCCAATAACAACATACAAAATTTAAGGTATAGGAAAAAATATTGTGTAAACATTCACTTACTGGCATACATATTGAAAATATTGCCATTTTTGAAAACAATTCAACTTAAATTTTTTTATAATATTAACTTAGTATTTAATAATTATTTGTGAAATCTAACTCTATTGATTCAAACATACTATATATTAAGTAAATGTAGTTTTATTAAACACCCATATTTATCTGTATATGATATTACACACAATACACAAATATTACATTTACTATACTTAAACCATATTACATACATAAATTAAATAAATACCTTTTTGTTAAAATCATACAACATCACTGCCACAGAATTTTGACTCAATTTAAACTTAATTTTCGTCACTAACAAAAAAAAAATGGCATAATAACAACAGCAACAAACGAAAAATTACAAAAATGCATTCAAAATAAAACAAAAAAAAGAAGAAAAGCAAATATAAACAGAAAAAAAAAATATTTTAATTTTTTTTTCAGTTGTTCTTCATTTTTTTTTTGTTTACATCATAATGCTACTGCACTTTACTGTCACAACAGTAATAATATTTACTTTAAAACATTTACATTCAAAATGTATTGGTCTTATTTGCATGTATTAAAATATTGCTAAGATTTAGATAAAAACAATGTTTATAAACATTTGAATAAGAACAAGTTATTAACATTTTAATACTAATGGTTTTTATATTCAACAAATAACCACACAGCGACACTGCTCGTACTTTATTTTACCTGAACTATAACTAAAATGTTCCTAACGATTTTTATTTCTGAACAAAAACAAAAAAAACATAATTTGCTTTTTTTTCTCTATTTTTTAAAATAAAAAAGATAACAAAAAAAAAAACAAAACGTGTGTATGTATGCATGTGCATAATATATAGAATAACGAATAACACAGTCATGATGACGACAGCAAGTCTACGAATATTGAAATTGAGTCGTTCAAAAAAAAATAATAATAGCAATAATGAAAAGAAAATAAGAAAAAAAATTCAAAGGAAGCGCTAAACAATAATATTATCAAAGTGTATGTATGTATTTACATGTGCTAAACATATTATATATGTATATGTATTTATATAGTATATGAAATGCATGCTTACTTATGAGTTTGTATGCATATTGTAAATGAATTATATAAGAAATTTAAGAAGTAGAAAAAGAAAAAAAAAATATTATTTTGTTATATAAAAAGGAGGACGTATTAAATTTTATTTTTAGAATGAATCTATCAAAAATATGCATGCATTTCTATATATACATATATATGTACATACATATCATATATATATATGTATATATATCATATACCTAACCATATTATGTGATATATAAGGAATTATTCAAAATATACGTGTATACTATATATGTATACATAGTAAAATCTGAACTTTTTGATAAATTACATATATATGTATATGTATATAGGATTATATCATGAGTATATGCACATATTATGCATTACATATTATTATATACTTATATAATATATGTATATCCACATATATATTTATGCATATAACTAGTAAATATACGTAAGATTATTACAATAACTTTTTACTTTGACGGCAATCGTTTTTATTATAATTTGTTGCTCTGCTCGACATTTTATGCATATGAATGCATTTTGTTTATATACATAATGTATATTATACATAATTCTATTGTTGCAATATTATTTTACTATATTTTATTATTTTATGATTATTATTTATTACTATCGTTCTTGTAATAATTTTTCATATACATAAGTACAAATAAGTTCATTTTGTTATTTTATGTGAATGTACGTTATTTAAACATATATGTATGAGATATATAACACATATTTATATAAACATATATGCTTTAATTATTATAATTTCTTTTTTATTTAATTTAAGTTATTTTCAAATTTTTATATGTGTATATTTTACCGGATGTGTTATTATATGTATCTGTAGATACTATAAAACAAAAATTTTAATTTTAATTTATATTAAAAAACAAAATTGATTTAATAATGAAAAACA